GCAGCCCTTGCCTATACGTAACCTTTAGCTGCTTGGTTATCGTATTTTATTTTTAATAGACAACAAATAAACTTGGTACCCAAACTCCTCCCCTTCGTTGCTGCCAGGCTAGTTAAGTGCATCCTAAATTAAACATCCCAGTGCTGCTCCCCTCTCCTTAAGGCTTGCATCTCTTTCCCATCATGCCAGTTTACACATCACCAACAGCCATCAGAACAAAGTTAGGTCTGAACCTGTCACCATCCAATCTTGCATAGCATTCCGTTTATTTCATGCTTTCATGATGTTTCTTCAGCGGGTTTTGAGTGGTTTTTTTTTCATCGTCGTTTTATTTTGTTTTGTTTTCGGGGATTTTTTTGCTGGGTTTTTTTGTTCGGGTGTTTTTTGGGGTTTATTGTTATTGTTTGTTAGTGAGTTTTGTTTGTTTTTTGTTTGGTTTTGGGTGGGGGTTGGGAGTGGGTTTTTGTTTGGGTTTGGTTTGGTTTTCTGAGCGATGTAGCTGCACTCACATTCAAGCCAATACCAGTTCATTTTTCATGTAATGTTTTACAGAGTGGCATATCGAAAGTTTTGCCAGAGTCCATATCTATATTACGTTTGAGTCATTCTCTTCACAAATTTTCTAAATTAAACCAAAATAAAGTAATCAGATTTATTTTGATGTGATTTATTCCCTGTAAATATATACTGCTGCCTATTGCTCACAGACCTCTTATCCTTTGCATTCTTACTTTTTTCTCCCATTTCTGTTTACTCCATCACGTTGCCAGGAACAGAAGATGCTCTGAAAGGGTGATATTTGCCAAGACCACTGCTGCCTCCCTGCTCCCACCACAAAAGACCGGCACTGTGTTTGCTCTTCCTCAGTCCTCTGGCACCCTCCCTAGTTTGTCAAGATACTTCAAAAATAACTGAATTCTTGAGTTTGCCATTGATTCCTACACCCCAATAGGACAAGCTTCATTTAGCTTTGCTGAAATTTCTTCATGCTGTTTATCTAACCAGTCCTCTACACCAGTCTGAGCTCTCATGTTAACATTTTCATTTCCTTGTAGTTCTCTATTATTTCCTTGGAAAAGAAATATTAAAAGAAGAAAAGCAGTCATTAGGTAGATTTTTTAAAATCCATTTCCAATAGCTGACTTGATTAAAGTTACTTTATGTGCACCAATTTGCCTGTAAAATTCTGTCCTTTTGGTTTGTTAACCCTTTCTGAGGCAGTAACTCACCTTACTTGCTAGCAGCAGTTTGTTTCCCCTGCCAGTTTCCTATTTCTAATACAGGGGTTTTCTTTTTACTCTCAGATCTGAGAGAAAATCCCTCCTAAAATCTAATCCTGTTTCACCGCTGCAATCCTTTTTCATGCTTCAGGATATAAAACAGCTACAAAACGTCTGGGTTAGAGAGAAACTCCCCTGATGGGAAGGTTATTCTGTAAACATCACTTCAGAGCTTCTTACCCCTTCATTTCAAGCACTCGATACTGGCTGCTGTTCCAGGCAGGATAACAAACCAGACAAACAATTGTGTACAAGAAATCCTCTATTCAGATGTCCTGGGGAGATGGCAGCAGATGCCTACTCTAATTTCTCTTATTTTCCCCTCATTTCCCAACTAGTTCTCTGCCATTTCTGTAGGTCAACAAAATGTTTTGCAGCTGGTATAAATTTTATTTTACCTGTCCATTATTTTTTTCCACATTCAACACTCAACCCCAAATTTCTGCAGATGTCAGCATTTGGCCTGAGTAAAGACAACATACTGGCACACAGGGTCAGTTTTCTGTGAGAGAGACAGGGCAAAAGCAACAGACAGGATGCAAGTGCTCTTGCAATTGCAAGGGTCCCAAGAACTAAAAGGGTGCCACAAAGGAGCACTGATGTGTCTGGGGAAAAATTAGAAAATTTGGAATAGGAGTTCAAGAAATATAATGAGGCCATTGGGATAATCTGGTTTTGAGCAGCTTATGGTATTTCTGTCCAGTCTTACAAGGTTCACCCTGACATGGATCAGCAAAAGTTAATTTTGAATCCTTGTCTGCATTCAACTTCATCCCACATCCCTGGCAAATTATTTACTCTCTGTGCACTTTGTGGGTTGCCTGAATGGGAACTATCCCAACTTCTCAGCACTAATTTTTCTCATTAAATGCTCCAGGGATACAAAATGCTTAGCACTCTTACCCCACATGGATTTTTATCCATCACTGGGCTTTGTAAGAATGATTTTTTTCCTGCCCAGAGGCTGCAGTCACCTGTGCTGAACTGCTGCTGGGCCTGGGGGCAGGACAGGGTGTGTTAGTGGTGAGAGACATTTCTGAGGCAAGCAGGAGAGGAAGCTTGGCTGGATACTCTCTGCCTGTCATGGCAGTGCCTTGGCCCAGCTCCCTCCTCTGTGGGCAGCGGGAGCCGTACAGCCCAGTAGCATTGGGAGAGCAGCAGGGTCATTGCTCTACCCCAGCAAATGCTTTGCCTAGTCCCATGACATTTCACAGCAAAACCTTCCAGGGGTTAAAGGAAAATGAGAGACAGAAAGGGGACAAGAGACAAAGGGAGGAATAAAGTCAAAAAATGTGCCGTGAAGCTTCTTGCAGCAAAATGCGGAGAAAGTCATTTCCAACTTCTTTCATCTCAGAGATGAAGCCACTAAATAAAAGGGCAGCGCAGAACACAAGGGCTTTTAATCTGTCTCATCTCCTTCATAATAACTGCAAATTTTCCCTGGGCTCCTGGGAGTGAGCCTCTTTCCTCTGTCTTTGCCTTATCTCCCCCCTCCATATTTCACAGCCGGCTCGGCTCCCCTCACTCGGCTGCCCCCGGCCCAGTCTCCGAGAGGCCTGTGGGAGCCGCCAGCTCCCAGGGCCTCATTGTTCCCGGCTTGGGAGGAAGCTCAGGGAGGGAATTGAAGGCAAGTCAAAGGGAAACGGCATCATCGCTGCTTCATTAATGGGAACCTTTCAGCAGAAAACATATCAGAGCGAGGTCTTTTCAGAGGCAGTAATTAGCAATTTGGAGCCTTCCCCCCTCAGGAGATGCAGCTGCGATCTAACAAGTGGGAGCAGTGCTCGCCTCCTTTTACGCTTCATATTTATTGTTTTTCATTTTCTCCATCTTCCTTCCATTGTCCAGCCTCCTCCTCATGGCCAGATAAGGGCTCTTTATTAATCACTCTCTTTTAATTCTTCATTAATGATAATAACTTTCTCTGGTGTGCGAAGAGGAGTTAATCTTTCCTGGGTATTGAGAAAGGACAGGGCTGAAAAGGAGGGAGGGAGCAAGGGAGGGAGAAGCGCACAGTGGACAAGGCTGTACTGCCACGCTTCCTTCCTGCCCCACCACCCGGAAGGAGTTTCTGAAGACATTGGCTGTCAAGTTGCAAGTTGCCCACTGGAAAATCTTGGGCCGTCAATTTGGTCCAGCTGTGTGGGTGTGGCAGGATGTACCCACTCTCAGAGATCCAGTCCTTACCAGAAATAGGTGCACGTTGGCCAGAGGGAGAGAACTTCTCTGTGTGTCTTTGCTGAACACTCACCAGCATCTTGGTTTGACTAACCAGCTAGCGGTGTCTACTTGTCTTGGAAGAACAATCCCTCAGATGCCTTCAAAGCCCATTTTTCCAAGTCCAAGTTGAAACAGCACCTGAAAGTGACAGAAATGGCATCTGGGAGGCTCTGCACATGTGAAGACCTGTTACAGTGAGCTCATGGGCACTCTGTGCCCCCTTCCCCGGGACCCTGTGACTCTGATCAAGATAACCCTGGACCCCTCCTTCCTGCCCCAACGGGGTTGGCGGAGAGCCAGGGAAGCCCACCCTGTCAAAGTCTAGATAAACCCCTGACATTTCCTGTTCATCCTCTTTTGCCCCGCTCTCCACTTGGACATCACAGAATAAAGAGAGCTGAACCAACATATCTCAGGGTAAGAGCCTCTTTTGGAAATCTTTGCCGTCTCCTGATATTCCTCCCCTCACAGCCTCAGATCTCTGGGCTAGCCTGATTATTCAGGGGGCTGTGTGAGAGGGGGAACATCAAAGACCCTTCTAGGAACTTCTCCCTGGGAGCTGGTACAGTCTGCCTTGGACTGCTCCCATCTGAAGGTGCCAGTCCACCAACATTGACATTTGTGTGAGGTGAAGTCAGGATGGCTCAGCACGAACAGCTCAGTGACCAAAGCTTGGTGAAAAGGGCAAGGAGGAAGAGAAGGTTGTCATGGAGTCTCTGGCTATGTGTGTAAGGCAACAATCACTGCTTATGAGCCCCAAGAACATAGCTAGGGAGGATAATCCAAACACACAGAGCTCAGCTTTTTTTCCTGGTGTTTTGTACCACTGGGTTCATGCAAACTCCTGCTAGTAAAGGCCATGCAAACTGATCTAGCGATAGCTTTAGTGGTGGACCTCATAGTAGCCTTTTCTGAGTAACTGGGCAAGCCACTATCAATTAAGAATATTTTAGTACTACCAAATATGATGAAAAAGGGGAAGAATTCCACTGTCACCAGAATAGGTGTCTCCA